ATTGGATTAAAAAATTACACAAAAAATGAGGAATTTCAAATAGTTAATTTGATACTAATATCGATATATTTTTGTCAAATTTTTATGATATCGTCAAACATATATTTTATTCAAAAATAAAAACATCATCGCTTTCTCAAAATTACATAAAGTCATATTATAACATCATCGACTGAGATAAAGAAAAAAATAAAATATTAAAAACACGATGTATCTCGCTGCATTGCGCGAGTACTCTTCTAGTTAATAACAAATCTATACTATATTATAAAGCATTTGACAAAAACTTTTAAAAACCAATTTTTATACATGAAGTACTGTATGCATATTACTTAAAATTCAAGATTACAAGTAAATTATGCATAAGTACAACTTATTAAAGCTTTATGTTTGAATTCGTGTAACTAACTGCGGATAAACATAATCAAGTAGAGGATATACATCTCATTTTAAAATATAAAAAATCTAAAATATAATTAGGATAATTATCAATTTCTAACAGAATCATTATCTTTATAAAAAAATTATTTTTAAGCCAAAAATAAATTACTTCACTATTTGATCTAAATTAAATTATAATAAAAAATGAATTAAATAAATTATATAAAAAATAAGAACTTTTAAATAGTTAATTTTGATATTAATATCGATATATTTTTTCAAATTTATTTTTGTTCAAAAGTAAAAACATTATCTTTCTCAAAGCCACATAAACCATATTATATCAATAGACAAAACATAAAATAAAATATTAAAAGAAAGATGTATCTCGCTACATTACGCGAGTATCATTCTAGTAATAAAAATGTGAGCATGAGTGCAGGCTTTTTCCCTAATAATACAATAGGAAAAGATGGTTAAGAGGACTAGAAACGAAATAACTCATCACGGTCTTTTTCTCTTGAAAGTAATTGTGATGGACTGTCATCGCACTCCAGTCACAAAGTGGCCAAAATTGCTAACTTTCGGTTTCCCAACCTTACTAAGTAGATCTTTAAGACCTGAGTTCCACTCATATGGAGAGATGCGCATATCTATATGACACACCAACTCGACTGACATGCTTAACTTTAGTAAAAGTTATGCAAAAATCTATATCTATATGTGATTGTTGAAGATTTTTTCAAACCTCCTTGCATCAGTTAAGCCATATTTTGGATCCACCAGTCTCTAGGTCAAATATCTGATATTAAGACACACAAATGATCGCCTTGTCTGAATTGAGTTAAAACTTCACTTGAGTGACCAAACCGAAAAGTTAGCAAAAAGTGGTAACACCCAAGTGTTACATACCATCTCTTAGGGTTGGCTTACACCCACACCCAAAGGAGGGTTTAGCTCATGCTTAAAAGAAAAGTCATAGTAGGAAAACAAGAAATACTTAAAGATAAATTGTATTAAGATAAAGTTCGTCACTAGCGACAAATGTCGTCAGAGTGATATAGAAATGGAAATACTAAATTACAACTGCATCTACCAAGAAAATAAAATGCAACATAAGCACTAAGTTTTTACATTGTTGGAGGTCCGGGAGTGTCTCAAGTTGATTTCCGAGGCTTCAATATATAAATGGAAGATGAGAGAGATTCGAGAGAGGAAATGGACTTGACCATCTTTGTCCACTTCTCCTCCCTCCTCTTTCATGAATACTCCAAGTTTAACCTTCTACCGTGCTCAACATCCATATTCATGAATTTGGCAATAGAATCGTTGCATAAGATTTGGATCGTTGTGGCCACATCCCACAGTCCAACATTTATCTCACAAATGACGCATACAGTCATCAATGCACAACACTTTTATCCTCGACAACTTCAAATGAAAATAAAAACGAAAACACGAACACATAAATGAAAAAAACACACTAAAAGGGAATAAAAAGACACTAGCGAAGAGTAAATAAATAACACTCAAAATAAGAGTTATTAGCTATCCTCATTTTTTTCAAACTCTTTATATAAGAAAAAAATATATATATAGATAAATTTATACAAATCAGTAAATTGATATATATTTATTTGGTTAACCCACATCGACAAAAAGACAAATAGCTTTAGGAGAAGGGATATTAGTATATAACAAGTGGATGAAATGTCTTATTTGGTTGTCCTACATCGACGGAAAGACGATAAATTTGGTACAATGGCTTAATATATATATATATATATATATATATATATATATATATATATATATATATAAAAGGTGGATGAAATGTCTTATTTGGTTAGGACGGTAATCAAATGAGAACTGTAAAAAAGTTGTGGACGTGGGGACTAATCTCAATCATTGAACAGTTTTAATCTAAGGTCATCAAACATGGTGGCATTTTTGTAATATAAGTGAAAGTTGTGTTTAATTAATCTCACAATCTAATTTAAAAATGGATGTACATATTAGGGTTTTTGTTACAATCCATCATCATTGACTTTTACTCCACAATCCAGATCGATTAACGATAACACCCCATCAACTCTTTCCCAATTTCAGTCAAGATCCATCAACATGAAACGCCATAAAAATCAACTAGCACCTCCAGATTGAAGTCTCTGCTTCCAATTCTCGAGAACAAAATCTCTGCCACCGGCGAAGTAGCGGATCCTTGCGAAGAGAATAGCTCCACCATCATCGGCTCTCCTCCCGTAACTCTTCCATCATCGGTCCTCATGGTTCTCAATTTTTTTCGTGCTCACAAGATTAAACCCCTATTTGGATATCCGACATAAATGAAAATATGATATATTTGGAAGAAAGGTGAGTATATAATAAAGTGGATGGAATTTCTTACAAATTTAAAAAGGATTTGTGGTAACTTGAAGCTGACAACTTTTGGTTGACCTTTTTCGACTACAAATCAATTTGTATAAAATATTAATTCTTATATATTTTTATTTATATAAAACAATAACTATAAATTAATGAGATGATATTTTTAAGTTTGAGTATTCTTAAATATTGTATTACGGTGTTATTTTAGTCATCCGACGTTGATAAAAGAAGTAATGTTGAAGAATGAATCTGCTATAAGAAATGATGGATGATTTTGAATAACAAAAAAAAAATTGTTGGTTAAATATATCTTTGGCCAACCCTCAGTTTCAAAAAAAAAAAAAAAAGATATAAGCATAGAAATATATATATATATATATATATATATATATACTAGTTGTGTATCCGCGCAATGCGGCGGAAGCCATGAATTTTAACGATTTTGAAGTTCCACTGGTTTTATAAGAAAGATTTAACGATGATATATGTTACACTTGGTCTTTACATATTAATACAATTTGAATAAATAAGAGTTATGGTTTCAATTACAGACAATCGATGAAAAAAATTATATGACAGTTTAAAATATAATATATTTAATATGCAACATATTTAAACAACTCCACAAATGTGTTCGATTTACACCAAGAGCAAAGAACCAAGAAACTTGAGTTTTAAGATAAACACTCAAAACCAATAAAGAAAACTACAAATTTGACAGATCATAAGCCATGAAAAGACCAAAAAAGATGAGTTTTATAATGAAATTTCAACTGCTTACCTTATTTCTTGTCCAGAAACTCAACTTAAGGTTGAATTAATACATGTATATATATATATATATATATATTTCAAAAAAACACAAGAACATATTATACAGTGCAATTTGGACAACTTAAGCCCAAAATATATACTATATATATGTATAAATAAATAACTATAAAAGTATAAATCGTAAATATTAAAAATATTTTTCACAGTATATATAACATATAATAATATAATTAAGTCAAAAACTATTCAATATTGGACTCATTTCGAAGGTATTAACGAAACGATTATAATGGTGTAACTTGTTAAAATAAAAATGTATTTTTTAAACATGTTTTAATTGATATATGATTATGATATTAATTTGATAAAAGTTTAAAATGAAATATTTAAAAGTAAATGACGTAAAGTAAATTAATTAATTAATTATAAGAGTATAAAGTGTAAATTTAAAATTATAATTTTAAAAAAATCGGTTGTGAGAGGGTGAGTGTATATGAGGAGAGGAGGGGGTGAAAAGATGAAAAAGTGATATAAAGGGTATCTTGGTCATTTAATATTTTAAGACTTTAAGACTTTTGTTAAATTTGCTTTATAAGATAGTATAGATATATATAAACTGGCCACTTATAGAAATACATTTATTTCTTTATATTGGATTTAATCAATTGTTAATTGAGTAATTACGTTAGTTTTAACTTATTATGGTCCACATATTTTCTAAAAAACCCATCGTGGTCATGCAATATTCAGTGTGCAACACTAGTTTTGCAATAAGAAAAGACTTAGCAATATATTACAAAAAGAAAAACCCAAAAAAACCCAATAAACTTTTTTATTATGAATGATTAACGTCTTTAAACTCTTTTTTTAAAAAAACAAACCATTCAAGTTATTTTCCAAACCCGTAACTCCATCACCTATATGAGTACTTAAACAAGGTTCGGAAGATTGGAAAGAACTAATTTCAATTGACGGACACTTGTAGGTAAAGGAAACAAGATTGGAACATTTAAATAAATGAATTAGACCGCAAGACACTTTAAGACCTCACCTACCGACATGAATGTACCTCAAGCGACCTGTGCCATGCAACGATAGCGTTTCAAGACGACGGCGCCTGGAATTTTGACATCGGTCATTCGTAAAGGTGTCTGATGCTTCTATGCGATAAACGAATCGGGAAATCATAGCATTCATAAGAGTTGCGAAGCTTCTGATTGCAGTCTGTTAAATCGAGTTTGAGATTCTCAACATTCATGTGGACTACAAACCTAAGCCATGCATCAATATCTAGCTTGAAACACTCATCCAAATCGTAACGAATCCGGATGTCTTGAATTATCGGGTGGTTTTAACTATGTAGAACACAGTCCACCTACTTGATGAACTTAATCCGTTCAGGACCTAATAGCTTCCTATTTTTGGCTATGTTTGCCAACAACACAATGTTTTCGAAATTTATTGTCATCAAGTGAAACCATAAATCCCTCCATCTCTTGAAGATACAGCTGCCACGGCATCCTTGATGGGCAAAACCGACATGATGATTAGAAGAAGATCAATGGGCATTTCACTGATTGTGATAAGTTAACTTCAATCGCTCTAAAGATCAAAATAAAATGAAGGAATTAGCTAGCAACTAAAACTACAAAATTCAATCGCTAACTCACTAATCATAAACAATAAACAAGTAGACATTACATAGAAAGAGGGGAAATCAAGAAATTAACCTTGTTGTTAGGAGCTCGAATCCTGTTGTTCCTCATTGTGGATGCTTATCAGAAGATGAAATTGACGACATCAACAGAAGCAAGTGGTTCAGACCAAAAAGAAGTTGGCCAAAGGTCTTAATATCAACTCTTTAGCGCTGCTTTATAGTGAACTTCCGAGCTTTCCCAAAAAAGGTTTTTCACTTTTTTTATGATTGCAGATGGGCCTTCGTTTTCTTTAAGTTTTGGATCCAGTTCATGTTCCCAAAATTGAAATCAAGAATTTGATGATTCATGTTTATGTAGTTGTATTTCTTTCTTTGAAAGTAAATTAGATATCAAAACAACTTTCTTTGTACGTGTCCTTCTTTGACTGGAATATCTATTAAGAATGAATGCTTTTTACTGTAAATCTTGAATATTTAAGGAATTTATTATTAATGTAAGTAGTTTATGAGTTTATAAATAACGAATTGAATCTACTCTTCTCGAACATGATCAAATGAATTTTTGTATGTCACAGTAATAATTTCTTATAATTAAGCGCTAACTAAACACTGCATACAAGATCATAAGGTACATTGCTATAACAAGGAAACTCTTTCAGCCATCCATTGTAAGATCATGAATTCCTTCTCGGACGAAGTAGGGGGGTGTGTGTGTGTGTATATATATATATATATAAATATCTCAATTAATTGGGTTGCAAAGGTTGTACAAATGCACAAGGTTGTAAAAGAAATATACCCTATATATATATATATATATATATATATATATATATATATATAAGAGCATAAGTTTAATGAAATATTACAAGTTCTTTGGTTAACCTTAGTTCTCCGGACCAGCTTCTTCTGTGCATCTCGAATGATCCCAGAGGCTCCAGGAAAATCTCCACGGCCATGCAGGACTCCAACGGGCTCCTAAAAGGTTAAGTCTTATTATCAGTTGAGCTAATCTTACAAGGTTAAAACTTATAACCTTGATGAAAGCTTATATCCCTCACATATTTTAGTAGAGCTTCATGAATCATTTGATAACTCATTTGCGTATAGATCTCTTGCAATGGAAGATATTTAAATTAAGTAGAGACGATTTACTTACATAAAAAGCTAATAACAGTAATAATATATATGAACGTAAAAAAGATATAAGCGAATATCAACTAAAATTTCTATCCCCACTCGTTACTTGGAGAATCTAACCTTTCGCTAAGTTATATTGCAATATTTCTAAAATGTATTTGAAGTTCTAGGGTTTATTTCAGACTCAATAAAAATTAGTTTCCATGTAAAGTGAATTTTATCCGGTAAGTGGAGAAAAGATTTTGCCCGGTGATGTCATCGCCCTCACTTGCCTTATCACGTAACATTTTTAACCTTATCGTGTAACATTTTTTGCCATCAAAATGGATTGTTGATAAGTATCTTAAACCCGATAAGTGTTTTACTAGGTAAACACTTGTAAACGGCCCAAAAATTGTATCCATCACAAATGAAAAGGTCATTTTGTAAAATTGAAATGCATAAAACTGATTTTGTATTTTTGGATATTTGAATAATTCAACATCAAATTATATTTTAGTTCAATAATTAAAGAGTAAATTACCTTTATAGTCCTTATGGTTCGGTGGAAACTTCTATTTTTGTTTTTATAAGTTTGAAATTACAATTTTCATATTTATGATTTATAACTCATTATCTTTTTCATTTTTATAATTTAAAATTTATTGTTTTTTATGTAGTTTATAGTTTATTTCTATTTTAATCCTTCGTACTTAAAAATAGTGTTTTGATCTCAAAAACAAAAATAGAAATGAATTATAAATTATTTAAAAAAATAAAAAAAAAATACAGATTATAAGAACAAATATCCAACCACAAAGCCGAAATTTGCAATTATAAAATGGGGTCCCGTGGAAGAACAATGAAAACGACAGAAGGAACGATTAAAAGGGATTAATTTGACGCTTTAGAATCGAGTATAATAAATGAAGTAAGCAGGATAATGGTTGATGACATTATTTAATTCAATATTTTTTATTTTCATTTTATTTTTAATCATGCCATGAACAATAAAAAGAAGAACAGCAAGATGATCAGAAATTGAATCAGAAAGGATATAAATTAAATTCCCAGTTGGGAAATTATGAAGAAATCTTCATCAAATCAAAGAAAAATTAAAAGAATTCCCAGTTGTTCTTCCCCTAAACCAAGATCAACGTTCAGTTCCTTCTTCCTCCTACGTCTGAATCATACTACTACATCACCATCATCATTGATTAAATATATATATATATATAAGAAATTAAGAATTCACCAAAGAATTTTAATGGCAAAATCGAAGCTCTTGCGTTTATGCCACCATCTGTTCTTGTTCTATGTACATCTGCTCGATCCATTGCGGCAGTTTCTCTCCTCCGCCGCCGTATCGGTGCTTTTCCGGTGAACTATGTAGCCCAACACCAACATCCTTAACCAGTGTGTTCACCCATGAAACATCTGGTTCATGGTTCATATTCACAGCACCGCCACCATACCCGAAAGATGCAGATTTTCTAAGCTTGTTAGCATCGTCACCACTGAAACCCCACTCCAGCTTCCCGTCCGGCGAACCCCACTCGGAGAAGTTGGAAGGTTGTTGGGGAATTGACCGGAGACTCATGGTGGCTCCTGCACCTCGGTCAATAAAGCTCTGGCTGCGTTGCTTTGAGAAGGAACCAGACCTTGAATTCATGACCGCCTGAGCAACGGCAGCCGACGAATCAAACCCGTAACTCGATGGTTTTCGCACCGGAGATGATGAGTAGTTTGGTGAAGGGTATGATGCACGAAGAGGGTTCGAATTTTGACGGAATTGTTGGTGCCCAGTTGGAGATTGCAATTGGGTTGGTGTGTTCGTCATTGGAGATGATAAACCATGAAATTGAGACAACAAAGATTGATCACGAGATCCAAAAACGTCATCAAGATTCGTAGGTTTCAGTTCCCCGAATCTGTTGTTATTGTTGTAAAGATTAGTTGATAAATCATCAATCATTTGCCGTCTTTGTTGCTGTTGAGCTCGTATGCTCTCCGATCCAAGCAACTCCATATCTATCTCCAAATCTCTAGCATTCAAAGCCGTCTTCAACCGACTCCCCGGAAGTTGCAGCGCCGGCGGTGTCAAATGATTCACCTTGTTCTGCCACATCGGAGAAGACGGAGGAGACATAGATGGAGTCGAACCAAGCGCCAACGGACTCATCGAACCCATTTCCATTGAATTCACAGACCCTGATTTTGGCGACGGCATAGCCGACCCAGTGGAAGCGTACACCGGCCGGAGCTCCTCCACCCTGTGAGCAAAAAAGCAAACTTTTCTGGCACACCCAATTTCGTCTTTGCACAAACGAGTTCTGTATTGAGCTGGGTGAAGCCAAGATTCAAACACCCCGTGTGCATAYTCGCAMGMATCKCCWTTMACRCAGCTWCCTTTRCGAAACTCCGGGCAMGGKACGCAGCTGTAGTTGWACTTYYTCRGRTCACGSCGSCGSGCGTTCTCGCCGGGATGAACAAACGGACACTCCGTCCAATCATGAGTATAAGCTCTTGAGCATGGTTTCACCTTAAACGTATACATCCTAAACTCATCGGACCCATAGACACCATTGTTGATATCGGGCATCGATACATCAATTGGGTATTCCTTTTTCGCTGCAACAATTTCTTTTTCTTCGATTTGTTCTTCATCGCTACCATCTTCAATCGCAAAACCCTTCAACAGCATCTCCAAAGTTCTTCGTGTTGACGATTTGATGCCACGAGCTATCAGATCGCCGGGTTTGTTGCCGTTGGCGTCGGTTACGTTAACATCCGCGGAAGCTTCAAGCAAAAGCTTCACAACTCCAACCGACAAAGGAGAGCCACCGGCGGCAGCGCAGTGGAGAGCGGTGGCGCCGTCGGAATCGGAGGTTTTGTTAACATCGACCTTTTTCGCATCGATTATGTATTTCAAAACCTGAGTGCTTCCATACATGGAAGCAATCATGAGAGGAGTTCGTTCTTCAAGACCCATCTTCCCTTTACACCCATTTCTTCTCACGTACCAAAAGCTGATCTCATCTAAGCTCGCCTCCTTCTCTTCCACCATGTAAATAAACCCAGAAACATCATCTGCAGCTGCTAACTCGAGCAAATTCGAGCATTTCAAGAACAACCCATGATACTTTTCTTCAAACTTCTCTCCATCCATGACAGAATAAAATTTACCCTTTGTAACTTTACACATGAAAACCTGCAAAAGTTAAAGAAACCCCATTAACAATCGGTACACAAACAAGAAGAAAAAACACAAATCAGTGAAAATTAAGATGCATCTGCACACCTTTAAGAAGGATAGTCTGACTTTACTGGATTGATGAAGAAATATGGTGTAAGAAATTAGTTGTGGATTGGATCGAGTAGGAGGATGAAGATGAAGAGAATGAGGTGGGATGAAGGATATTTATATGATGTTGGGATTAAAGATACAAATATTGTAGAAAGCACACGCTATGGAGGGAGGAGGAAGAAAGGAGGAAGCTATGACTTTTCTTCTTCTATGTTTCTTTGGTCCAAGTCAAAGCTTTCAACAATGGTGGAGAACACCCACTTGAAATCAGTTTGATTTCTGAAATGAAATTCATATTCAAATTCAAATGCAAATGCAAATGCAAATGCAAATTAAGATTTAAATGTGGGTGTGGAGCCTAGCCTGCAATCTACTGATATCTGACTGGCTTTCAACGGGTTTGTCCAGTGGAGTATGAGCTTGACCCGGCTGGATATAATGTAGGAATCCCACGCGCATCCCGACTAGAGTGAGGGAATGTTTAAGCGGTTGACGGTGGCGTGGGGGGCTGTGAGTGGTGGAGTGTGTACGGTGGCGCGTGGGATTTAGGAGCGTAGTGGAATCGACTCACCGGTTAAAGATTTCAGGCGACTGGTCACACGCGTGACGCGGTCTTTTTACGTTTTACTCGTTCCTTTCCTCCACATGTTCGAATTACATTTTAAATTTCAAAAAAATGTGTACGATTTCGTTAAACTCAATATAAGAAAACTTTACATTTTAGTTTTATGTTTTAACTTTAATTTTTAATTAATAAATAAGAATTTTGATTATTTAATGTTGTTTTCAATCAAAATGTGCTAAAAAAAACTTTGATATGTTCGGTATTTATATTTATTAGAAAGATATTCGTGTAATGTATCGAGATATATTTGTATTTCAATGTTTTGTTTTATTTTTTATCTTTGTCGATATAATACAATTTTATGTGATTTTGAGAAAACAATAAAGTTTTTATTTTTGAATAAAATGTAAATTTGAAAATATCATATAAAATTTATAAAAAATATATCAATATTAGTATCAAATTAATTATTTAAAAGTTCTTGT